TGAGTGTAGGTTTGAATTCATTATTTCTTTTATGCTCAAGTTTTCTTTTGAATTCTCTTTATTTTTCATGTTTAATTTCCTTCTATTTTTTTTCTTTTCTTTTCCTCTTTTATCATGTTTCTTTATTTCTTTCTCCTCTTATCATGTATACATCCTTCCTTTCTCTTTCTATCATTTTGCTTTTTTCATACCTTCTCTCACTCTCTCCTGCCATGTTTGCTTTTGTTCTCACCTTTCTTTCTCTTGTCACGTTTGCTTTCTTTTTGCTTTTTCTTTTCTCTTTCTTTCTCTCTCACTTTCTTGTCATGTTTGCTTTCTTCTCACTTTTTCATTCTCTCCCTTTTATCATACTTACTTTCTTTCTCACATTTTCACTTCATTTTTTCATCTTAATGTGTTTATAATAAATGCTATTGTACACTTTCTATCTTTGTGTGTCTTCATTGTCTGTAAAACTGTATTCTATGGATTTTATGATTTAAATATAGAGTTTAATCAAGAGAAAAATTAATCAGACACTCTGTACTTCTAAGAGAAAAGAGAATTATTTTGTAATGTAACAATATCTTTCACTGTCTACACAGTTCAAACTGTTGTCTTCATCTTTATTGCCATATTCACAATGTTTTAGCTGTTGTATGCTCCAGTCTTCAAAATTTCACTGTATATCGCCTAAAGAAGGCCAAAACATACAACAGCCGAAACATCATAAATATTGCAATAAAAAAGAGGACAACAGTCCAAACGATGTAAATAGTGTAAATTAAATATTTACAATACCTCATCTCAGAAATATAGACAAATATCTTTCACTTTCTATAAATATCAATAAATTATACAAGCAAGAATGAATAAACATATACAAGCAAACACTGATCAATTAGATACTTACTTTGAACAAGGTTATATTTTTCAAAAGATTGTTTCTGGCAGTTAAGATATATATATATATATATATATATATATAATGAATTAAAATACCTGAAACTGGCTTTGCCTGTATTGGAACCTTGATTTCTGGTTCTGAGATTAGATTCTTATTTTTATAGACAAGACCTTTTTTTGTTGAGTAAGCTTTAAAGAAAATAGTATCATAACAAGCATTACTCTGTATCACATGAATCACTTAAAATTATTTTTTTTTAGTTTTATATTACTGGTAAACATTTGAATAAACCAAACATTTTTTTTTAATTCTCTACCTTTTCTCTGTATGTGTTGTCTTGACAAAATGCTTTTTAAAATGAACATCTCTGCAAATGTATTTATTTCTGAACAAGTGGCTGTGTATGCTGGAATAGCTGGTTTGCATAGAATTTTACAAGTATGTACATGCTTTGAAATTGTAGTTAAACACATATACACATAGATGTGTGTATGTTGTTGATGTAATAGATGTTGTGTATTTATTTTGCAATCTACAAAATTTCCCTTGTGTGTAATGCTCCATCTTACAGTAGACAGAAGCATTTATTGAGTTGTGGCCTTAGAGATTTACTTAAGTCAGGCTTTGTTATGAGCATGCCAAAAGGTTGACAGATGTTTTATTTCTATTTCCATCAAGTGACATCAACAAATACAATTAATTCATGACAACATTAATTTTTTTTAAATGCACAGTTACTATTTGAGCAAATGTAATAACAAACATAGAAATCAAATATTTTTACATCATGAAAGAGGATTTTTCAAATTGAAGTGTTTTTTTACTGTTTCAAAAATATAAAATTTTAGTCAGCATTCAAGTTATATTGTAAAATAATCTATTTTCAAATTCTACAGATATACTACCACCACTACTACTAATACTACTAATAATAATAATAAAATAGCTCCATTTTTTCCAATTACACTTGTCTTCATTCTTGACTGCTGACAGTCTTTTCTTTATTTTCCATGCATTTTTATTGTAATATCATTAATAATTTCTATGGTAAAAGTATTTGCAATAATTTGCAGTATACATATGATAGCATTATTTTGTCATGAATGCTTGTATTAATTTCTGACTACTGACAATCCCATTTATGTCCTGATTTTAAATGCACAATATACATGTTTAGTACTAAAAATTTCAAAATTCAATTTTTTTTTATTTCTCTACCACCAGAAATATTTAGTTCTTTAATTCAGAAAATGTTTTTTTTATTTTCGGTTAATACTCTCTACAGATTCCTTTCCTTTATTATCTGTGAATTGCCATATAACCTTGGGAAAAATAGTGGAGTGGTTTCACATTACCTTCTCCACAGTTTGGAATTCAAAGTTTTTCTTCTCTTAGATTAGTTGCCACCTAAGGTTAGAGAGTGCATTCTACCCTACAATTTAACCTATAGCTGTGGAGGAGGAGAGACAGATTCATATCTTTCCCAAAGGGTATTTGTGTGAATGTAACAGACTAGCCTAGAATTTGAACACGGCTTGCCAATTTCACTTTTATTTTATAAAATTGTTTAAAACCTGGTCATCTTCATCTGAAATTAAGTTTAAAGTTTAGTATTAAATTAGTTTAAAGTTTAGTGTTAAATTAACTTGAAAATGTGGTCCTCTTAATGAATTATTTTGAAAATAATTTTAAAATATGATAGTCTTAATTTTAAAACTTGGTATTCTTAATTTGAAATTAATTTTGAAAAACCCGGTATGTTAAATATAGAATTTTCATATCTGGCCTTTTTAATGAAATAATTTGTTTCAAAATTTATTTTTCTGAAACTATAAATATAAGCATCATGTCACTTCTGAAAATGCATGCCAGTAATAATTTGTAGGTTAGTTTGATGTGATCATTGTTAGATGAAAGAATCTTCATTTATTTTATTTTTTTTTTTTTTTGACAATTTTTTCTGCTTTTATTATGCTTTCAAATTGTAAATATAGTTTCATATATTCATTAAATGGGACATCAGTCGTACCTGAGTTGTGTAACTACTGAAATAATGTCTCTTTCTAACAAGTTTTTCAAATATTTGTTTTTTCTATTTTGTAAGAAGTGTCAGGTAAGAGCTTAGAGCAAAATTGAAATGAAAACAAAATAAATAATAGTAACTGTAATGAGTCATTTCACTTTCTCATTTATTCTCAGGCTGATAAAATATTTTGCAAGCTAGTACAAGATTTTAACATTTTTATCAACTAAAATGACATATAGTCGATGAAATTAATGACATATAGTCGATGAAATTAATGACATGACTGAGATAGTTGCAGGTTGTTCACTAGATCTGACATCTTCAGATACTTTCTTCTATTTTATGCATAATGACATTAAAGAAAAATAATATCTGATGTTATTACTTCAGAATAATAGCCGATTCTATATGACCTGTGAGTTGGATAAAATATCACAGCCAGCTAGATTTGGCCAACAGGTCATAGTGTACTGACACTTGCCCAAAATAGATATTTATTAAATTTGATTTTATATGGTACAAGGTCATTAGAATGAGGCATTTTGTAAGGACTGAATTAATCATATTGGCAAAAACTGGTGAGTTAAATTTATGTGTCCAAATTTAATCTTGATCTGCGAAAGGCCTCCAATTTGGATCACTTTCTAAGGATCAAATTTACAAAATTATCAATAGCTTGTAAGAGGCACTGTAAATAAAATATTGTTTTAACTATTGAGGACAAATTTAAAAATGAGCCACGGTTTAAGTCATACTCCTTTAAGTTGATTGAACTAGGTCCAAGCAAACAATGAAAGTTTTTATTCCAGAAAAACTATTCTTGTGTCATTTTGCTAGATGGTGCCTATTGTTTCTCCATGTGAGACAGATTGTACTAGGTTGCATTGTTTCAGTTGTTGGTTTGAAATCATTAAGGTATCAAGTCAGATCATCCTTGACATTTCTAGCACAAAAGATGATTCACCAACAATCCTCACCAAATAACATTAGGCGGTTATAAATGATATCAGTAGAAGAATAACTAATCTAACTGCATTATTCCAATCCTTGTAGCATACAAGTAATGAGACTTTTTTCAAGTTATCTAACAATGGGACAGTGTAGGAAGTGGTGGATTTATGTTTTGTCCAAGACATAGGAAAAATACATTCAACTCGTGTGGGTATAATAAATTGAATTCGCTGTCCAAACAACATGCAGTTATGATAATACAGGATGTCCATAAAGTTCGTGTGCACTTTAAAAAAATTATAACTTTATTTGTATTTCTGATAGAAATAATTTGTAAAAAGGATTAGAAAGAAGTAAATCTATATTTTTTTAAGGTTTTACTAAAATTTTATTTAAGTTTCCACATGTCCTCCATCAGTAGCAATACAAAGGGTAATACGATTTTGCCGTTCACGGAAAACATTTGCCAACTGATTTACAGTAATGCCTGAAATCACATTAGTTATTTTAGCTATAGTTAAAACTAGGTACATTAAACTTTATAGCATTTTTTATAGATTATTTCTATTGCAAATACAAATAAAGTTATAAATTTTTTAAAGTGCACACAAACTTTATGGACACCCTGTATTTTACCAGTAAACAAAACAGTAAATTTCTCTCATACAAGATGAGAATTTTATAAATAAAACTTAGTTAATCAACATTATATATAAGGAATCTAAGATTTTTTTTTTTTGCCTCATGGCTGCTTTGCTGTAATTAGCTTTGATAGGGTGAAATTTGTTTTTGTTTCTTTAACATCATTTTCTGAATTATTTTTTAAATATTTTAAATATTTACTTCTCAAAATAGTTAAAAAAAATTCTTTAGTTTAAAGTATCTACCTTTATTGTTAGAAATAACATTTAAACTAAATAATTTTATTTAAAAAATTTAATGTTCAGACTATAGACTCATCATTCACTCTGTTTTGTATTTTTTTTCTTCAAATTATCATAAATTGATAAAAAGCACGTTTGAAGATGAAGGAAACATGAAGCTCAATGAGAATAAAAAAACTCTTTATTCCTTCATAACAATGATCTTGCTCTACTTGTGTTTGATAATGAATTTTCCTGATTTTTTTCTTCAAAGATGATGAACACTTGCGAAGGCATCACAGATCTGGTGACTCTGTTGTGGCACCAGATACCAATATTCCCTATCGGGCATATGAGCGTGGCCCTCTGGTCATACCTTCTCATGTGCTAACAAAATCAACCAAGCATGGCCTTGGACGAGGAAGTGCTGAAAGTTTGGTAGAAAAGGTAAGTGCAATATTTTTTGTCTTTCTTTTTTATATAGTTTTACATACACTGAAATCACATCTTTTGCCCTCACACAAAACATACCAAAATCAATATTAGGGCAACCTCAAAGATGGATAAAAATGCCTAGTAGATATGTGCGCGAGCACACACACACATACCATCATCATCATCTGAATCCCACATAGACAAACAAGAATTAGGATACACATACACACATGAAGTATGCACACAAATGCTGCTTGACAAGACAGATGCATGTGGGATCTGCTGAACCAATAAAAAAAAACACAAAAATTAAAAATAGCAGAATTTTCTTTTTTTCTCCTTATTTCATTCTTTGATGAAGCTTTAACATGTTAGATTTTTTAAAAAGGTTTCATATTTGTTCCTTATCCTATCATACACTGAAATCTAGTGTTATCAATATATCAAAGAAATTGCCAATAGTCTTATTTGTTATAAACAATTTCATTGCTTAGGCATTTATTAAAGTGGTCAAAAAGTTTGTTCTGTTTTTATAGCTGAATGATGTTAAGACAAGGTGATCCTTAAACCTTAAGGATCACCTTGTGTTAAGATCATTTAGTTTTAATTCATTCAAAAAGATTGCTTTTTATTGTATTAAACTGTTGGTATTCTTTTTTTTTTTTATCAAAATTGTTTTTTGTTTATTGATTCTAACAAGATCAAAATGATAAGCAACATTTTTGGCATATTGTGCTTTTTATTTTAGGAGAAAAAAAAAACGGCAACTCAAATGCAAAAAAAACATTTGAGTAGTTTATAGAGAATTTTTTTTTTTAATCAATTCACCTGAAGCAAGGTGATAATGCCACTAAGATGCAAGGGGCAACTAGGAGTAAAAGAAAATGAAAAAGACTTTAGAAGGAACTGGAAACCCAATCCTACAAAGGAAACAAGGGATAAACCTCTACTCCTGTTCAAAAGACCGGAGAGGAGTGTGAAATGAACAAGATGTTTTGATCTTTACAGAATTCTTTTCTTGTAAAAAGTTTAAATCCCTTGAAAACTGCAAAAGGCACCAAAAGCAGTTATTTTCTGAGAAAACAAAAATTTCTGATTATGAAGTTACCTGAAAGATGGTAGGAGATAGTGGAATAAGGACACTAAATGGGATGTTAAAAAAAATGCTAACATTGAAAATAAAAATTTGTCTTTTAGTTTATTTAATAAACCAAAGACTTTTTTACCCATCTCCATGTTAGTCAGGTACAAAGCCACAAAAATCTGTTAACTGGTGATAATGAAACTGTTATGAAGTGTAATTTCCTTTGTATTTTATTAGTCCAGCAGTAGTTATTTCTTGGGTATTTATATAGTCTATACCCTAGCTCTGCTAATTAGGTAGTTATTTACATGTGTCAAAAATTCCTTTCGACTCAAAGGGTAAATCAGAAGCCAGTCTGGTACAGGGATCAATTAATGACCAGAGATGAGAGCCCACAGAATGACACTATTCTCATAATGTCCACCCTCACAAAAAAGAAAGATGAGAAGAGAGGGAAGGCAGTCTTTAAGTAACAAGGTGGCAGTCCTTCACATCCCACCCCTTCCAGTAAAAAGATTACAAAAACTAATGCTCGGAGTGGCCTTGCTTTGAAAAACAAGCCATGGCAAACACTCTGTCTCTCACATCTGACCACAACCTAACACACACAGGTAATTTCACTTATTTTTCTAACATATCACTACAAAACTCATTTACAGGAACTAAATGACTATAAACATGTCAACATCAATTTCTCATGGGTGTTGCCATTTTGGTTTTGAGTGGATACCCTGCAATATAAACTAAACTAAAACAACATCCTCAACACACAATATAATAAAAATACATCACAAAACTGATTGTATTATACACTACTATATGTCTATACTGGTTTGGAAATAGCACTAAACACTAGTTAAGCAATCACTGAAGTTAAGCAATATTGGGCCTGGTTAGGGCCTAGATGAGTGACATCTTGGGAATCCCAAGTGCTGTAAGCTTGGATATGTGGTTGGTGTAATGCTCAGAATTGGAAATTCCATTGGGTTCGTTATATATACTTATGAGCAAATACCCTTAGGAAAAGCATGAATCCACCTCTTCTCCTCCCAGCTATGGGTTAATTAGTAGGACTTGTATCAGTAAATCATTATTATTTCCAAAAATAATGTGCAAAAATCTATAAAAAAAATCAATCAATAAACAAGTATTAGTTTATAAAATGAATGCTAGGAAGTAGCATTTCACAGTCATGAAAACATATATGCCAACTACAGGCAGAGTCTGTTTCATAAGGATACATAGCAGTGGAAGTTTTAATCAAATATTGATTAGCTACAAAGATGTTTTTCAAATTGGCTTTCATTTCTTCCAACTATAGATAATGTTGTGAGGATATTATATCTTCAACTGTAGTGAATAAACACAGAAATATTAACAAAACCTTAATGTTATAATGAGAACTGCATAGCATTAAAAACAAACACCAAACACTTCAGATGATTAAAAGTAGAGAAGTACATTTGCTTTTATGTTGGTTGAGTGTCTTAACAAAATCACCACCACTTTTTCATTTATTGATCAAATATTGATTAACCACATGTATATTTTACTTTGGTATTTTTAAAATTAAAATGTAAATTTTTTTTGCAGTTTTCTTTTAAAAGTTTAAAATTCATTATCTTTGGGAGTTCTTTTTTTCCTAATTTCCGGATAATATTTTTGCAGGTACTTGAAGAAGAAGGTCTCAGAAAATATGTTGATGCCAAGTACCTACAGCAAGAAATCAAAGAAGCCACAGACATGACCCAAGAAGACTTGGACCGTGCAGCCCATGAGCTTATTCGCTCATCAGTCCATGGGGCCTTACGCCAACCATATATCGAACATTTAGGTGGCTATAAGTCACATGAAATGAAAGACTTCAATCAGTATTCTTCTAGAGAAACCCCTCCAACACACCAGTTACAGAGGCAGCCCCATTTGCAGCAGCAGGGTTATATGGGAGATGAATTTCAAGATTCCATGGATGATAAAATGGTATTTATTTACTTAAAGCAATGACATGAATTAACCCACTGTATCCAACAATAATACAACTTAAACTGAATCATTTATTTTTTTACTAAGATCAAAGCCAATGCAAGGTTCTCATACCACCACCACTAACATTAATCTAAGATAAAGGGCCACCACTCTACTACATCTCAATTTTCATAAGGTAGTATTCATATAAACTACAAATTTTATTGTACCATAATTATATACAATAATGGATCATATGTAATATAACTGAAAAATTCAACTAGTAAAATTGAAAATGAATATAATGTATCTAAATACAAAGTAGAGACATGTTATAATAGATTATCCATCTTAAATAAATTGACAATGTTTTGCAGCAATTTTTAACATTGACACAAGATTTTTCTTGTTAAAAAATTGAACAATTTTAACTCATTCAACATTATGGATAAAAAATAGTAAATTTTATATCATGTTTTTTTGAGATTTAACATGAGCAAAACAAATTCACGAATTTGAACAAAAAAAGAAAGCTCTAGAATGATATCGAAATCCACAAAAGTTTATCATCTTTTAATAGTCAGTTTTGCTTAGCTTAATTTGTAATCTAAATGAATGTAGGTAGAAAAAATCAAATGTCAATAAGATAGCAAAGGTCACGAAGCACTGCCTGGACCCTCAAGCAGGCTTGGACCCTGATCTGGGAGGCACGACGGTCAGGGTAGTATAGGCAGCCCTGATTAAGATGAAACATAGTTATCATTAATTTTTAATTATGCTTTCATTTCATTTTTATTGCTTTTTATGGCAACATTCAAGTAAACTTTTGTAAGTAGTAAGGAACAGTGTTGTATATTAGTGTGAATTCATAAACTCGTCTGAGGCAGTATTTTGCTTCTGCCATTAGATTGTATCTTTACTCTGAGTTAGATAATTGAAGTTCTACATTGTAGTTGGCTGAATTGAAAACTATAATTTACTTCTTTTAATTCAGTACTGATCTCTGATAAAATCTGAATCTTATCTCTAATCTAATTTCAAATAATCTGATCTCTTATGCATGTATAGCTGGCCACTCGTATTCGAGGATACCCATTTACTAGGGTGGCTAGCCAATCCCTATTGCAGACGTTTGCTCAGGCACATTTTTGATTATTCAACACCCACAGAACCAAACTGTAGTTTTTACTGCAACTATGCTGAGCAGACCTTATTTACAGTTTCTGGGAAAGAGCATGTTATCTAACATGATCAACCATTTGAACAAGGCTGGTACACTCAAGCCCTTGGCCAAGATGACTTGTGACTTCATGCTAGCTCAGCAGTTGACATCCCCCCAATTTCACTCACAAGGCTTGGGTCAACCCATGGTATGGTTTTTCAGGCACTTTCCAAAGGTGCCACACGCTGGGATCAACCCCTTCCAGCCCGATAACATCAGGAAGTTTCCTTCCTGACAAATTGACCATGGTGAAAGTTGAACCTGGGTCTCATGCTCAGAATGCAAACATTCTAACCACTTGGGCATGATCTCCTATTGTTGTCCATCATCCTGTATATATATTTAACAACCTGTTTCATTTGCAATAGGGAAAGAATATGATAGATCTGAATGCTTTTCTCTCTTATAAGACTAAGAGTGAATATGTAATTGCTACTTGCTCTATACAACAATCAGAAATAGATTTGAACTTGAATCAATTAATCCTTGCCTGACCAGAACAGCATCTTCCTGTTTGAGTCAAAAAAAGCTAAACAAAAGATATCACTCATATATACATTACTTAACATAGAATGTCGTAAAGAAAAAAAATGTCTCGAGCATTGTGAGAAAAAGCAACAAATATATGATAAAATTAAAACTAGTTAAAAATTAATAAAAATATTTAATCTAAAAAAGTTGGACAACTGCATACTATTCTGTCTATTACTACTAGATATAAATGAGCAAGGGAAATAAGATAATAGAAAAACTAGTAAAAATTAATAATAATGGCATTGTTTCATTGAAGAACTAATAATTTTAATGCAATAAAAAGCAATAGAAATAAGATGAAAGAAATTAATCAGAAATTAATGATAATAAGAATACTTCATTTAGAATTTTCAGATAACTCAAGAGGATAAGTTTCCAATCTGATTCAACTCTCTTTTTTTCTGTTAACTGTCATAGCATGTCAATGACAAAACCTTTGTCATGATATCTGGTGATGGAACAGGACATGGACAGGTGAAGTTCATGCCTTTCTTAAGAGCATTAGTGCAAAATGGATACAAGCAACCTCAGCTAGAATTTGAACTCTGTTCACTGAGTTTATTTTCTGATAACTGCTACTTCAGTTTGCATTTTTCAGTGAAAGAAATCTTGA